CCCCCTGTCTCTGTCTGTCTGGCTTTTCTTTATCTGTATCTTGTTTGCTTTTCTTTTTAAACATTAATTTTTCTCTGGTACTAAATGACAGTTATTGCGTTGGTATGGTACCATACTCTTTCCCCGAACGTAATCACTAATTTTGATTCTTTGCTTCCTGTGTGTCTTCATGTACGCATTGTATGTGTGAGCGCGTCGATGGAGGCATAGCCTCCTGCTCTGTCGTTTAAGGTAGTAAAGTTTAAGGCAATCTTCTAGATTTGTACTTTTTATGTCTCTAGCTGGATTCTGGTGATAAGGTAAGAGCACACTTGCTGGATTCAGATACTTTGGAAAAGGTAAAGGTTAAGTTTAATGAACCAAACCCATACCTGAACCCGAACCCATACCCTAATCCAGTGGGTGGTTGGCGGGTGCTCTGGTGTGGTTTGCTTCTTCTTTCCTATCAAACATCTATCGTCCTTATCTTCCCTTCATCTTTTTTATGTTTGTTACTCTCTTGTTACAGCTCTAATCTTCTGACGCTCATATGACCGTATGCAGTTGCGAGCGCCGAAAAACCCCTACTAAATTAAAAATGCCCAATCCCTAAACCCAATCCTAACCGTATCGAAACCCTTACCCGTACCTCATTATAAATAAATGTGAATTAAACGAGTAAAACTGGAAGATTGCTGAGTTTGCTTTGATAAACCATGATACAATGCTGAGGTTGCTATGACGAAGCTACATTAGTTCATCGATAGCTGTCTACATCGTTCTAGAGGAGAAGGTTTTGTGGAATATACATTGTGAAAACGGAGAGTCTGCAGGCCTCGTAGACATCAACCTTAGCGTCAGATGTGATGCTAGTTATGGGAAGGAGAACACCCCCACCTCCCGGCCAGCGCCAGCTTCAAACAGCGGGAAGATAAAAATTACAAGCTGTTTTTCTTTCTTTGCTGTCTTTCCGTTGTTTTGTTTTGTCTTGCTCGCTCCCAGCGAAGAATTTTTAATAGTATGGCGTCATGATGACCTTGACCCGGTTGTATTTAGCTGAAGAAGGGAAACTGTTGGTTCATATGTCCTTGACCCGGTTGTATTTAGCTGAAGAAGGGAAACTGTTGGTGTTGCTGTTGCATACACACGAACTGTGTGTACTAGATCTAGATTTTATGAAGATGTTTTCGGATGTTTTTTTTTTTAAAAGCTGTCTCGGCATGTATTATTGTTAGTCTTCGCTAGTGTGATCGTTTGTCTTCTCTAGTTTGACCGTTAGTCTTCGCTAGTTTGACCGTTAGTCTTCGCTAGTTTGACCGTTGGTCTTCGCTAGTTTGATCTTAAAAATTGTGCTGTTGTTGTTGTTGTTGTTGTTGTTTTGTTGTTGATGTTGTTGTTGTTGTTGTTGTTGTTGTTGGGCTGGTGGTTGGAGAATGTCACCATCAGGTCTCACTTCTTCACTTTCTCTCCGTTGTTTCTGTCTGTCTGTCTTACTTTTTCCCGCCACTAAATGACAATTAGTTGTTGTTGTTGTTGTTGTTGTTATTGTTGTTGTGTTTACGAGTTTGTCTTCACATTTATGCACTTAACATATTTTTGTGAGTGGTTGAAGGGCACCATTGGTATGTCCTACTTCATCTCTTTTCTTCTGTTGTATTTATCAGTTTATTCATTTGTTTTTCATGCGTCGAGTCCCTGTTTTCATGTAGACGTGCTTCTAATTACTCATACTGGACTCAGGGTATGATCTGTTTGCCTTGAGTACGAATATTAGAGTTTCCGTTACAAAGTCCAATACAACTGTTCCCCAAAAGCTATCGAGACATCATTTTATAAAAGTTTTTTTTTTTTTTAGTAGAGTTTTTACGGCGCTCGCAACTGCATAAGGTCATATGAGCGCCAAGGGGTGGATGTCAACAGAGACGTCCTTATTATAGGGAATCAAACTTACTCTGCTCACCTCTCTAGATTCAACAGCACAGAGCCTGCTTCGACTACCAAGGCACCCCTGAAATACCGACAATAGTAAGGATTACGAAAAAAAAGCAGCAGTTCCCTGTTGCAGATCAGGCGCAGTTATGAGCGTGACATTGACGAATCAGCCCATTTACAAATCTACTCTGCATAAAGAGAAATGTCCCCCCTTTGGGAATGGCCTAAAGACACTTCCGTCAGTGGCACCGCCCCGGGGGGTAAGACATTATTTTGATTTTGACTATATCTCTTTTCCTTCTTTTTTTTGTTGCATGTCACTCTTTTGTAATACCTCAAATCTTTGGCACTTAATGTGACCTAATTGTGTATCATATGTACCGTACAACTCTTACTACAACTTAAGAAAGGGGAACTTTCTGCTTGACTTGAGCACGAGTATTTGGAGATTCAGGTAATGATCACTATGCCTGTTTTCCCGACTCGACTGGAAAAGCATAATTGTAATGGTGCACAGAGCTAGGATGTGGCCGTCTGTCTGTACACAATCAACAAAAACCAATCGATCTGTTTATCTGGACAAAATCGAAACGCAAGAAAATACCCAGTTTACACAGATACACACATAAACACACACACACACACACACACACACACACACACACACACACACACACACACACACACAAACACACTCACATAGACATACAACACAGAAACATTATCATCTCTTTTTGCCTAAAACTTTAATATACCTGTTGTTGTTCAATGCAAATGCTCCGCTACAACGCAGTTAGTTGTAACTGTAACATTACTTTGATCTGGCTAATATTATTATGAGGTTTCCTTTTTACTAACCTAATTTTGAATACCCTTTATGGATCACGCGTACAGACAGCGCTCTTTTAGTTGGATCGGCGATGGAGTGACCGGTCACGGCGGGCCGGTCACCCAGAGGTCACTAACCCGCCCTCCCGCTACCTGACGTCGGTAGCCGGTGAAATGAATTTTTCAACACATGTTTTATCGTCTTAAACACACAAAAAATATCATACGGGAACACAAGTTTGTTCTTTAGAGAAAGCAACTAAACCTCTTTATTGGTATGAAATAGCAATACCATGGCTGCTCACGTTTTGGAGTTAGATGCTCTTAAAATGTATGTCTATTTATAGTTAGTCAAAACAACAAACACATATTGAATG